AGTAGCCGGTCTTGCACGAGGGACACAAACGGATGGTGCTGGAGCTGGACATCTCGACGAAAAAGGTCAGTTTATTCTTGTTTTATTATGCTTGCTGAAGAAAAACTGGGAGCAGATTACCCGCTCTTAACGTAATTTATACGGATCGGGTGGGGCCCACACAGCAGGTGGGCGTGGACTAATTTTTTCAGTACGATGCTTGCGCATAACGGGATAAACCCATCAGCGACAGCCTTAAAGGGCGAAGCCTATATGACATAGAACATGTGGGAAGATGAAAATGTAGAGTGGGAGAGTTGTTAGGTGGAATATCATGAGAAACAGTAAGATGGTTTTCTCACAATAAGCAAGAATCACAGAGAATGGTGGAGGGGAGAAAAATTACATGTTTGTCAGACTGGATTATAATTGTAAAAACGATGTAACGGTCACAGCATCTTTGTTCTTATGTTATTTTTTACATTAAGTATTTCACAAAATGTATAAAATGAAAATGTTAAAACAAAGCCATTCTCTATATTAAGTCTACAAAAAAATTAAACTAAACACTAAATAAATGCAACTCTGTCAACTTACACTTCCTGTTTTTTTATACTGAAACCGTTATCATTAACATGAAAAGTAAAAACTTGGATAGAAACATGAATTTAAGAAAACTTGGCTTTGCCAAAACAATAAATAGCTCTAGAATCAAGACACCCTGGTGTGTTTTTCATTCTGGTGGGACGCTATGGAGAGTGATGTCCCTGTAAATGGAGAACACCCTCCCATCCCACTTTTTGAAGATGATGGGATCAATCACCCCAGTCTGCCAATCCAGTGGCACTACTCCCGATGTCACACCTTATTTATATTATAATATTATTGTTTAGCGTATATCTAAGATCCTTGTATACTGTTACTTTTTTATACTTTGTTTTTGCTATTTTTGGGTGTAACTGGGACCTTGAGTACACAATTTTGTTCCACTTCATGTACCACATGTCATAAAATCTCCTTGTAGCTTGAAAATCTATTATTTGTCAAGGCTGAAAAGTGTGAACCACATTACCTCCGTTTCATTTCTCGGGTGTATCTTTGAAGGAGGACAATATCGGACAGACCCTGACAAGACTAGGGCAATGGTGGATTGACCTATTCCTGAGACTCGCAAGCAGCTGCAACATTTCCTGGGGTTCTCAAACTTCTACAGACGATATATTAAGGACTACATTCGGGTAGCAACACCCCTTACTCAACTTACTTCCTCTCTGCGGTTGTTCAAATGGACCTCTGAAGTAGATGTTGCTTTTGGTAAACTGAAACATTAATTCTCTTCAGCTCCTATTCTTTATCACCCTGATGCTAAGAGACAATTTATCTTGGAAGTGGATGCCTCCGACACCGAAGTAGGGGCTGTACTGTCACAGAGACACCATACAGATAATAAGGTACACCCTTGCGCCTTCTTCTCCAGACACTTGTCCACAGCTGAACAGAACTACAGTGTGGGGAGCAAGAACTTCTTGCTATTAAATTAGCATTAGAGTAATGGAGACTTTGGTTGGAGGGCACTGAGATACCTTTCCTCGTCTGGACTGATCATAAGAACTTGACCTACATTCAAGATGCTAAGAGGCTGAATCCTAGACAAGTCAGATGGTCAATATTTTTTGCAAGATTGAACTTTTCTCAACTACAGACCCAGTTCCAAGAACCTTAAACCTGATGCCTTGTCTCGACAGGTCTCTGCTTCTGATGGGGTCAAGATCGAAGAGGGTATCTTTCCTCTTCCTGTGTTGTTGGTTCTCTAACATGGGCAATTGAAAAATACTGTACATTTTAGAGGCTCAAAGGTCAGAACCATATCCAGGCACCGGATCCAAGGACAAATTGTTCTTACAACAGTAAGAGCCAGAGTCCTAGAGTAGGCCCACACAAATAAATTGTCCTGTCATCCGGGTGTTAGCTTTGGCCAAGAGACACTTTTGGTGGCCTACCCATATTCAGGACATTAAGGAGTTTGTAGCTGCCTGTAAAACCTGTGCTCCAAGTAAGAGTGGAAACATACCACCTGCAGGTCTACTTCAGTCCTTACCCACTCCCAGTTGTCCATGGTCACACATTGCATTGGACTTCATCACTGGCTTACCACCTTCTGAGGGCAATACTGTTATTTTAACTGTGATTGACAGGTTCTCCAAGGCTGCCCATTCCATTCCCCTGGTCAAGTTCCCTCAATTCAACTCAGTTTATTTATATAGCGCCAGGTCACAACAGCAGTTTTTGAAACTGCCCAACTCCTCATCCAACGTGTTTTGAATCGATGGAATGCCCTCTGATGTGGTGTTGGACCGCGGACCCCAGTTCATATCACAGGTATGTAATGCCTTTGGGGCATCATCCGGTCTCACATCTGGATACCATACCCAGTCCAATGGACAATCTGAAAGATGCAATCAGGAGTTGGAAACTGCATTGAGGTGTGTGGTGGAAGAAACCCCTCCTCATGGAGCAAACATCTAATCTGGGTTGAATATGCCCACAACTCACACATCTTTGGTTACTGGCCTGTAACCTCTTGAGGCCTCTCTGGGTTATGCACCACCTCTGTTCCCCCATCAAGAGACTGTGTCTGTTCCCTCTGTCCAGCATGACTTTTGCTGCTGTTGGAGAATCTGGTGACAAACCAAGGACGGTCTACTTCATACTGCAGTACAAAATAAGAGGTTTGCTTATCATCATCGTTCCGTGGCCCCCTCTCACCTGGTCCGCCAGAAGGTATGACTTTTCACTCAGGACATAACCCTTAAGGACACACCTAAAAAGATTGCCCCTCGTTTCATTGGACCGTTTCCCGTTATTAAACTGATAGACCCCTCTGCTCTCAGACTGTGACTACCTGCCTATATGCACATCATCAATGCACATCATCACACTTTCCACTTCTCCCAGATAAAGCCCATTTCTGAGAGTCCCTTGGGCCCTCCGGCCAACCTCTATCCACCCCCCACCCCCCAACTCATGGATAACTATCCTGCATTAACAGTGAGATACATTCTAGATGTGAGATACTGGGGTTGTGGTTTCCAGTACCTGGTTGACTGGGAGGGATATGGACCTGAGGAACAATCATGGATCCCCAGATCATTTATCCTTGAGCCAAGCCTCAACATCTTCAAGTCCCATCCTGAGAAACATATAAGAGCACTGAAAGACTATTCTTGAGGGCAAGGTCCTGTAGGGTTTTCAGCTCTTTGCAGGTTCTTGAGTTCCAGGGTGGTGCCAATGAGCAGCAGCTGGAGATCATCTCACTAACTAGCTTCAGGCGTATAAGAGTCTGTAGAAGAGCTCCATTCCTTACTGGAGCATTACATGCCAACCAATATTTGTGATTCCAGCCTTCTAGTGATATTATATCTAAGAAAATTCTACCTTGTGATCTCTTTGTGCTTTTTCAGAGACTTACCCCCTGAATCTATTTTGTGGGACTGCTCTCCTACCAATAGATGAAGCTTTTATCCCTGGTTACCCATGACCCAGGAGAAATCTGATATTCAGCCAGTCTTCGAGGCCAAACAGGGAGTCAGATTCAGATAAGCTTCAATTGTTGATTTTCTTCAGGCAGACAGATTTTTGTTCATCAGCCTTGAGTCCTTCTGGATTTTCTGGTTAAAAATGGCCTGATTTATGGGAATCCATTCCACTGATCCATGTTATGTGCCTCCTTCAAGTTTGCTCCAACCACGCTGATGAGCCCCAGAAGCTGCAGGTGACCTGCGATTCTCATAAATCGCCTCCACCTTACAGTTTAGCTTGTAAATAAGCTGATTTTGAGTACTCACAGCATGAACCAAACCTTCACACTGACTCAGAAGCTTTGTCATGGCCAAAACTGCTGCCGAAGTCTTCTTCAAAATTCAATAAAACAGAGCCCCGCCGATGCCAAAAAGCAGAGTCCCTGCTATCATAAATCCAAATATATAAACGTCTTCAGCATCCTCCTGAGACAAGACTGAGAGGCACATCAACTGCCACACTCCCTACGGATCCATGACGTACCCCACAGCGTGAGTCTCAGCTGGACAAGTGGGTTGTCCAGGACCTTGTCGTTTAGTTGAAAAAAATTTGTCGATCGCGTTGAAAGTCTGGGTCACCAGATCTATAATCTTGATTTATGTTCGGGAGATGTGTACCAGGCGCTTCAGATACACAGAGAGCGAAGCAGGAGGAAGGAAAAATGGGGGAGGGAAGGAAGGGAGCAGCCACCTTGAGCGAGAGCCAGACAGGCTGGACTATTGTAAATCTTTTTCTCTTGGAGTCCAAAAAAACTTACAGAAATGTCTTCATTTGAATTCAAAATCTTACTTCTAACCTACAAAGCTCTCAACAACCTAGCTCCATCTTATATTACAGATCTTATTGTTCCATATTTTACTAACAGAGCACTTCGCTCTCAGACTGCAGGTTTACTTGTGGTTCCTAGAGTTTCCAAAAGCAGAATGGGAGGAAGATCTTTCAGTTCTCAGGCTCCTCTCTTGTGGAACCAACTTCCAGTTTCTGTCCGTGAGGCTGACACATTGTCCAGTTTTAAAATTGGACTTAAGACTTTCCTTTTTGATAAATCCTATAGTTAGGGTTGACTTGTTATGCTGATATAGACTTAGACTACTAGAGGACACAGTAAATGTCGATTGTTTCTACCGCTGGCTTCTTTAGAGAGATAACTTTTTATTATTGGCATTTTAGAATTAACTGTTTTTTTTCTATATTGTTTGCATTTTATTTTGTAACATATTTATGTATTATTATTACCATTGTTATTATTACTTGAACTTCAACTATTATATATTTGTTTATAATTATACATGAAATTGTGCATAATGGTGTATTCAAGGTTAAACCACACAATTAAATCCCAAGATAAAATTATTTTATTCCGAAACACTGGCAGAAATGTTGGCTGATGCCATGGAATCCTTTAATAAATGGGAGGCATTATTTATGTTATGCTATTAGTATCAATAAAAATGATTACCTGCTGCAATAGCTCCAACAAGTGGCAGTAAAGTGAGAGCCCAGGGGTAGTTCCAGGCTCCAATGATGAGGACCACTCCCAGAGGCTCTGGCTGAATATAAACCTCATCTGATAAAGTGAGGAGGTTCTTTTCTACAGGTCGAGGAGCTGCCCAGTCCGAAAGCTTCTCTATGGCCAGTTTGATATCATTCTCAATGCCAATAAGTTCCAGAAGTGGTGTGTCATACTGATTCTGTGGGAAACCCAATACATTTGTTGCATAAGAAATAAAAAAGTCGACTGCATGCATGAGTCAACAACGTGCTCTATGACAGAGCCCTCACCCTGTTGATGTCTTGTCTCAGAGCAGTGGAGATATCCTTCTCTTTCTCTGTGAGCATCCTCTGCAGAGCATGGAGCTGCTGCACTCGGAATTCCAGAGGTCGAGCTCGGCCACTGAAGAAGGCTTCCCTGGCCCGCTGTAACATCTGTCTCTCCATACCTGCATCATATTTCATTATTTTATGACTTGTAGGTTTAAAATTACACCAAAAAAATGTAACACCTTTTACATAGATCTGGATGTAAAGCAGGGGCGATTCTAAGATCTGACCTTTAGGGGTGCTTAGCCCCCCAGCACTGACAGTGGCTCTTGACTTGAACAACACACCCCATGGTGTAGTTTTTGAGAAGTGCAAAAGCTTACGGCACCTGGTATTCCCAGGAGGTCTCCCATCCAGGTACTAACCAGGTTAGCTTCGGAGACCAGACCAAAGTGGACGTGTTCAGGGCGGTACGGCCGTAAACGAGGAGCTCAGTCACAAACAGGACTTTTAAAGGATCATAACAAACAAAGACTAAACTTACGCAACCACAAATTACAACATATATCTACATAAAAACACACAAACTAAAACACAACTAGCTTTCAGCGTTAACCTTTAATTAAACCTTTAAGCATGCACTGTATTTATGACAGAAAATGGAGGATTTACCTGCAGTTACCTTGGTACAGGTAAACATGTGGTACTTCCTGTTTATCATTCAGAGGATCATGAGGTCGGCCGTCTGCCTTTATTCATCTTTACATTTTTCCAGACTTCGTTTAGTTTTTGAAATGGAATAAACCGTATTACATCCTCTAAACACTCAGGGTGAGAGGATCTGTGTGTGATTTGTGTCATCTCTCCTGCTCTCCTCAGTGATTTCACCCTCTTGTGATCAGCTCCTGCTTCTGTCACCTGCTGTCCTTCCCCAGGTGTTTGTCTTTATCCCCTCGTTAGTGTCTCTATATTCTGTTTCCTTGTTGTCCCCCTGTCCATGGATTGTCCTGTATGACGTCATGCTCCTGTCTCCCTCTTGTCTCCTCTTCATTTATGTCAGTTTTTCTGCCACGTCAGCCCTTTTATTTTATCAAAGTTCATGCTCTATCATCCAGGTACAAAATCCAATAATGGTCAGTGGACAGGGGACAGGACAGCCCCCAGAAACCAACTTATCACCAGCAAACTGGTTGGTCCACTAAAGGAGCGTACTGCTTAGTGGGGAAAATGGTTTACTTGGGACTCCTCAGACTGATGAAGCCCTCTGGATAGAGGGCAAAACGTCTTTCCACAAAAAATAATCTGTCCATATGAGCTGAATGACCATCACTGGACCTTTTGCTTATTTTAGTCTTGAGTTCCTGAGTCCTGTCTGTAACCTGGGTTCATCCACACTACAGGACACGACACAGGGTAACACGTGTCTGAATTACAAAGTACATGTCCCCACTGACAACGTTTAACCTTCTTTGTTTTTTCACAAAATCCCTCGGTCCGAAAAACGTTTGAAATACTGTTTCCTGCCCTCCCTGCTTGTTTCTTCGACCTCCTGGTTATTTTTTTTTTGGGATGTCATGATGTCATATGTATATCTACATCTATGTATATCTACATATATACATATATGTATATCTACATATATACATAGATGTAGTTATATGTACATTTTTTCATTCAACCTTTATTTAAACAGGTTAGTCCCATTGAGCCACGAGGACTCATTTACAAGCGAGACCTGGTTTCAACAAAGATGATGACAACAGTGGACATTCACAAATGATTCATACATATTTAAGTTGTTTTGTTTTATTTTACAATTGAAAAACAGTTTGATAATTAAAAGGAGAAAGAAACGTAACAATAAAAGCAGCTAGAACGCATGAATGCTTTCATTAAATGCCTCATATGTCTCATGGACGTCTTTAGGAACATTCACCAACATTTGAACATTACTTGTTGTGTCCTCACAAGAATTGCATCTTCTACTCTAAACACCAAAGTCTATCATTTTTCTTCTTCTTTCTGCTGCTCCTTCTTCAGGGGTCGTCACCGTGACTCACACCAAGACTTGGTGATTATTTTTACTCCAGATGTTTCTCCTGACTCAACCACAGCCCTCGGTGTGGAGCAGAGAGCTGCATCTAGGGCACCCAGAGGAGCAGATGGTGGGGGTTCAGGGCCTTGCTCAAGGGCCCAGGGTGGGACAAATGAGGGTGGAGGCAGGTGTTTCACCTATCCCACCCACATTTTGATGTTGTTGGTACCGGGAGTTAAACGAGTGATCTTCTGCTCACAGGCCCACCTTCTCTAACCTCTGCACCACCACTCCACAGTCAAACAAAACACCAAAGTCTATAAGATTAATTGAAATAATGCTCTCCTACACTGCTGTAGAGAAATGAAACAGCATTTTGTTCAACTGTACGTCGTGCACCGAATGACAATAATTATAAAGTTTTTTTATATTACGTTTGCACATAAGAGTATTTGGAATATTTGAACAAACTGCTGTCATTGTTTCATCACAGGATTATTTTACTTTAAAACTGGCATAAAAGGAGACGTACGACATGCAGCTCTTCCAAAACACGCTGGTTCTTTCATTGTACCATGTCCTCAAATTCAAATTTACACCAACAGACCTGTGCTCCTGAAATTTATTTATTTTTAGTTTTTTTTAATGTACATTATAAGACGTATGGCCAGTAATGTTGTGGAGTTCTGCTCTGCCAGGTCCTGAACCCACAGACTCTAATCATCTTCACCATGTGGATCATCGACTTGATGATCATGAGGAGCGTTAAAGGAAGACGTTCAGCCGGCGCTGGAGCATTTCCTGTCAGTGGTAGCTCTGTTCCAGCCTTTTCCTCCTGTCTGAAACTAAACGTTAATGACTTTATATTCTGTCCGTGCCTCCAGCGACTAATCCCTGACGTCCTTCCTGAATCCTCCTGGACCTTGAGCTCCTCTGTGCCTCCTCGGCTGCCTCCACGCCGTCCTACAATTTGCCTGTCATTGTTCAGGTGTTCACCTGGAACCATTTGGGTCAGCTCTCCCCACTACTGACTCCCATCTCCATTGTCAGAAAGATCAACAGGAACATTATTACCCCTGCCAACAGACCACGAATCATCTCTTCAGGGTTCCAGCTCCGTCCCTGGTTTGTACAATTTACCACTTGTAAATAAATACTGTACATTCATTCTGAGCCATCTGTTCTCCTCCGATTTTATATCTGGGTACAGCTGCAGTCGTTACAAACGTGCATGTAGAGTACAGTTACCTTCATAATGTTGAAGTGTGCGTTCCAAACACAAATTGACAAATGGAGCACTAACAATGAACATGAATATGACAAGTCTTACCTCACTTCAGAACAACTGGAGTGAAACACGTCCAATGCTAAATATTCCTGCAGCTGATCTTAAAGTAGCTCAGATTACTGAGCGACTCACCTCTTTGTGTGCGTTTATCCTTCCCCTCAGCTCTGGGATCAGTTTACTAGGCAGGTTTCACACACTGTGACCAGGAGCTTCATTCAACCCACTATAACCAGTACAGCCCACCTCCCACCCCAGCTGAGTTTAATATTTGGACCTTGTTCGGTGCAGCTGGTTGTTACTTCAGCCTTCACTGATGAGCTGCTGGTTCTTTATAACAACTTTACATCAGTGTAGGTGGCATAAATTACAATGTTTCAATCATATCCCACTCTATCAACGTATAGTTTTTATTGTTTTAAGAAATGTCAAGAGAACGTGCTTTTCTACTTAAAAACTGACAAAATGGAATAAAATACCATCAGTCACCATCAAACATGATCAAATCATTGTGATGTTCGCCACGCCTACGCCGACACTTCATTTAGAAACAAATCATCTTGTTTGTTTGTTAGAAAAAGGAAACGTTGAACTCATATCAACCAAGACATTTTATTAATAATGTTGCAACTGAACTAAAAGTAATTCAGTTCCAACAAGAGCTTAAAGTGTTACAAAGTTGATGCACAGCCAATATTTTTTAAAGAAAAAGAACAACATTGCAAATGTTAAGTGGTTTGAACCAAGACAATGTTTGTATTATCTACTGGGCTTAAATCCCATAATTCCTTGCAGCAGCATGAGGTCAAAAACCAGAGCGCCAGCATCAACCACTCAGCCTCGTACTCCTGCGAGCAGCACGAGAACAGACAGTTTTATTGTTCCACGTGGACACAAGTGTGTGTGTCAACAACAACAATGGTGGGCTGCGCCTAAACAAAAGAGGCCATTTAGCTGTGGGAGTGAAGCATGTTGGGTAATTAAATGGAGGGTAGATTTCCTAGACAACACCACATTGTGTGATGGAGACAAAGCTATTGTTGTATGGGGTACAGGCCTGGCTGTGTCTCTGTGGGGGGAGAATTACAAATCAGATTAATAACACTAGAAACTGTGAAACCAGAGGCTCAACTGTCCTGATGCATCCACAACCATCCAGTTAGAATAACTGGATTTTACATTTATCTAACGGTTTGATCTAGTCTTCTGGACTGATTCTTCTTAGTTAAAGAATCAACAAAGAAGAATTATTATTGACCTTTATTTAACCAGGCAAATCCCATTGAGATCACAGATCTCTTTTGCAAAGGAGGCCTGGGCAGACTTATGCATGTTTTTGATCTGTGGGAGGAAACCGGAGTACCCGGAGAAAACCCACGCATGCACGAGAAGAACATGCAAACTCCACACAGAAAGACCCCAGATCCAACCGGGGATTGAACCCAAGACCTTCTTGCTGTGAGTCAACAGTGCTAACCACTGAGCCATTGTGCTGCCATATTCAGTCCAGAAGACCTCAAACTTGTTACAGTGTCAATTATTAACAATAAATTCACTCTTAGAAGATAGCTCCCAGTGGTTTTACATTAAAACACTGTAATCTTTTGACTGCAAAAAGTAAAGCAATAAAAACTGAGAGAGGGGCTCTAAAACCCACCACTGCACCCAGTATTCACTGGTTAACTGGACATCATTAACTTCACGCAGACTGGTACATTTTCATCTTTAAATCACTTCTTAGTCTGCTGCCTTCATACATCTCCTCCTACATGTCTCTGCGCGAGTGCAGCTACACTACCAAGAGACCAAGTGGAAGAGCAGCAAGGCTCGCAGCATTGGAGCAGGGTTCAAACTGTTTTATCATGGTGTGGATAGAAAGAGAAATGGAGTAGGGCTGGTCCTGAAGGAGGAGTTGGCAAAGAATGTAGTAGAGGTGAAAAGAGTGTCAGATAGGGTGATGGGTCTGAAGGTAGAAGTAGAAGGCCTGATGCTAACTGTTGTCAGTGGCTATGCTCCACAGGTTGGATGTGATGTGGAGGAGAACGACACATCTTGGAAAGATCTGGATGAAGTGATAGAGAGTTGAAAAGGAGAGGGTTTCTGGTGTTCTCCAGGAAATGATCTGGTTTAGAGCAGCAACGTATGAAGGTGTGTCCCATTAAAAAGCACGGAGACAGATATCCAGCTTGGGGTGATTTATTTGCTGTGTTTCAGAAATAACAATACAAAAAGCTATTAATTAAATTATTACTATAAGAAATATAAACATAAAGTGATAACTAGGGTGGCAAATATTCAATAATAAAGCAATATAAAGTATATAATAGGATTATCTGTTATCAGAGCTGAATTTGGGCACCAGTGACCCCCGTGACCCGAAAAGGAAGAAGCAGGTAAAAGATAATGGATGGATAGATGGAAGGATGTAAATTTAAACAATGAACTATGCAGATCTAGTTCTAGGTTCCAGGTTTGTCCGTTTTGGTCAAACCTTGAAAGAGCCGCTGCAGAGGAACTAAGAGTCGCATGTGGCTCCAGAGCCGCAGATTGCAGGGTCTTCCCTGAAAGAGATGACGTCTAGATGGGAGCACATGTTGTTCTAGAACCTGAACATAGTTCTCTGCATTAATGGTGCCTTTCCAGACATGCAAGCTGCCCATGCCACAAGCGCTCATGCAACCCCATACCATCAGTGATGCAGGCTTCTGAACGGAGCGTTGATAACAACTTGGGCTATCCTTGTCCTCTCTGGTCCGGATGACATGGCGTCCCAGTGTTCCATAAAGAACTTCAAATCGTGACTCATCTGACACAGAACAGTCTTCCATTTTGCCACACTCCATTTTAAATGACCCCTGGCCCAGTGCAAACGTCTGAGCTTGTGGAGCTTGCTTAGAAATGGCTTCCTCTTTGCACTGTAGAGTTTCAGCTGGCAACGGCGGATGGCACGGTGGATTGTGTTCACTGACGATGCTTTCTGGAAGTAT